CCAGTCTCCGAGCTCCAGAAGCTGCCGTGAACTAACACGGAAAAATACCCACCCACCCTTCCCATTTGCTTTGCTGTTGTCTCTTTTTTCTGTTTTCAGGTAATAATGACCGCCGCAGTACTAAGCCCTTCTTCGTCATGGCTGGAATTATCATTTCAACAGTCAATATTTGTTTTGCGACATCCGGAAATTTACCAACGTCGACTGCCAGACCCCTATCATTTGAATCCGACGTCGGTTCAAAACATACATTTAACTGGCCTGTGCATAAGCATAAACGTTTCGAACACCTGTGGGATGCAACTGACTTTCGGATGTTTATAGAATAGTCATTAGATAACCTGTAACCGATGTCGGTACAAAACAAAACACTGTTAATTAAATTAACCCATGTGTAAATAAAACACATATTATCTTTAAAAAAGTATTGATATAATGGTTATTATCATATCATTACATTGTTATACATGGTTTCAAGCAAGTTTACTTACATTATATATCACACTACTATTTAATTAAAATAATATTTTTTCTTATAAAGAACGTTTCTCTTTATTGAGCTGTATGTATTTTGTATTTTATATGTTTACTGACATATCTGAGCAGGTCCGTTGTTCTTTATTCCGAGGAAAAGTCTGAGGAGGTTTCCTCCGTGCATGCCAACGGATGCTACGGTTCCTCTTAAAAAAGGGGTTTTACGTAGGCGGCCAGTATTCCTAAGACGAATATACGATCAAACCTGTTGAGTAATTGTTCTGGTTTGGAATGTCCTAGACATTCTATGGCAGTTTTGATCGTGATATGCTTGATAAATGTATTTATATATACAAATGGCTGTATCATTCTTTTCAAAATTTAACTAATTTTTATTGATAATATTTATAAAACATATTTTATAAGCTTCGGATATCAAGTGTATATCATATCTGGCATTTGTCAGCACATTGTCTCTTTTTCGAAACATAATTTTAATTGATTATATCTAAATAATCATATTAAGCTACCGAAGCATATATAAGCAATATATAAAATGTCACTTCCAACTGTTAGGATATGAGCATTAGTCATATAATATTATAATTGATATACATGTAATTGTTAATATTATTCTATAACAGATTGTCTGGAATATTTAATGCTCTTATTTAGCCGTCGATATGGCGAAAATCTAACATAAAATTACAGGTTTTTGCAATCGATGACGAAGCAAAACCTATTTTATAATATTCTATTTTATATAAAGGTTCAAACTCTATTAACTTTATGTTACTTAATGACCAGTCATGACGGAAATTTTATGCCAACCATAAATAAAATAAGTTAAACATATATGTTGCATTTATTATCATTTGTTCCTTTAAAGTGACTATGTTGGAAAAATAATTACTTTGCCCAATACACACGCGTTTGAAAAATCGGAAGACTTCAGTGGAAATATTTAATATATACAATCTAGTCTAGACTGATGTTTCAATGACTTTTATTTTTGGTCTTATTAATGCATAATTTATATGCACAGTGACATAAAAGTTTGAACGTCTATTTATATTTCTCTCCTTTACCTTTTGTTAAAAAAAGTAATAATATCACATTTTGTTTTTAACATTTGGTTCAAGCACCTTAATTTATGTTTTTTGTAGAAATTATACAATCTTAGAGTGAAAGCTGAGAGTGAAAAAAATTTTGATTCCAAAAGGATAGTTCCCCAATGTTATGTTATATGCCATTACAATTTTATACGCTTTGAGCATTGTAGTTTCGGAAGAGAAGACCTTTAAGGCACGTAAAATAAATAAGTCCATTTTAACTAAATGGCCAATAAACCCGGACTAATTTTGACCTCAACGGCATGATTAAATAACTTTTGTAGAAAACAATAAGGCATTGCGTCTTAATGTTGTTTAGGAGAGAAAAATGTAAGACATGTTAACGATATGAGTCTGTTTACTAAGTGATTCATTGAGTAAAATATTTTTGACATAAAGGGAATGATTCCCTTAACTTAACTTAACAATGATTACAATAATAACTTAAATCATGAAATTTACAAGTTTACAAGCTAATGACTGGCAACGAGTTCTTTGCTATTCAATGTTATAAAAAAGTGCGAGTGCTTAGAGTGCTTGAGGATATAGGAAAATATTAACAGACTTACTGTTTATGACCAACCTTACCTATACATTCCAGAGGTTGTAACAACTTTATACTTTTAGGTTGTTTAACTTTAATTTTTCAGTGTGAAACCCTTCACATTACTTCCTGACATTTCTAAGTTCCAAACAAAACATGCTAATGATTCAAAATAAGCAATATGCTAGTATAGTATAAAGAAAATATACATACTTATACTTTGCAGTTAATGAATATTGAATCATTTAAAGAAAAATTAACACAAAAGAAGATATGCAAATGCATGGTTGTTTATTTTCATCAATTTTAGTACACAAATGATTAAGATAACTTTGGTATACTGTACAAGGCAATGATACATGCCAAATATCGTAGTTCTGGACTTTGTAAATTACACAAAATGATTTAATCATGTTTCACAACAGAAGTATGCGTCTCTAAAAAAACTTAGTGTTCCCGGTGTCGGACCATTTATTTCCCTGGAGGAATGGTTAATACATGTTTGTACAGGACGTTATAGTAATGTTATTTAACAGATATTCCGATCTCTGGAATTGAAGTATCTACTATTAGCTCTTGTTATCTTATGAATCAGACTGGAACAATTTATAAAAGTTTTGTAAAGGACCCACTGTGAAATTTTGACGAATTTCATTTTGATGTTTAGTTAATAATTGTGTTCAAATAAACTGTGGATATCAATGAACTACTGACACGCTTCAATAAAAAAGCAACTAGCGCCAACGGAATTACTGTGATTTCTAAGTTTCTAGAACATGTTTTAGAAATAAATAATAATGTCAAGAAAATCTTTCAATTTTAGTTTTACAAAAAGCTCTAATAATACAAGCCAGAACATCAAGTTTTATCAATTAGGTACCAGAACAATTCTAGGGGAATTTAGGGTGAACTAGCGGTTAACTTTCTATGATCAGATCAAATCAAAGGAATAATAAGGGATCTCGTTATCACCGTCTAGCCTAATGATCTGTTATTTTAACAGAGTGTGGGAATCATGTTTATTTTATGTTTATTTCAGTGAGAGAGAAATATTAATAATGTGTATGCAAGATGTTGTGGGGAACATTTTTTAATTGATATAAAGATATTTCATTTAACTATTTTCAACATTGTTTGGGGGTGGAGGATAAATAAACGTTTGCATCAGGAATATAGTTGACAATAATCGATCAATATAGAAGAAGGTCTTTGAAAACTGGTGACCGTTAAAGGCCAGAGAACAATTATTTCTTTTAAGAAAATTATTAATTAGGCCTACCATTTTATGAATAATTCCGAGCAAAAAAAAGTAAACACACAAGTTTACGCAGAAAATATCTCCTTTGATTAGATGCCACTACGTATATTTTAATCGTGTAGATTTTCAGTATAAACAATTTATTGTTTGTAAATTTGAGATAGATATTAAAGAAATATTGATAACTTTCAAACACATCATTCAAGTTTTTGCACCTTAAACGGTAAATAATTATAGAAAATTAGAAATATCACGTAATAGTTTTTTGTTCTTAATGTGGTGTAATTCGGACTAATTCCCTAGAGGTAAAACCGTAACGTACCGGCAAACGGTATTTAGCTAGGTTTTCGAAAAGGTCAATTAACCAATCATGTAAGGTTTACAGATCACATGCTCCTCCATGTACCGAAAACAGGTCCCGTGCTCCTCCATGCCTCAAAAGTTAAACGCGTACCAGTACCCTGCGGTCTCCAGACCGCAGGGAATAATTTAAAAGTCACATCGATGACAATTTAGCTGTAGCAAGTTTAAATTCAAATCGTTGACATTATCATGTAAATTAAGTGGTCACATTGATGACAAATAAGTTATAAAAAGGAAGTGTAGGAATAAGTAAAGCTGACGGTATGTTAGAGTTATTATTTTTTTCAAATGTTTAAGACTCATTTTAAAATTAATTATTCTTTGCATAATATTAAGCATATGATAAATCTGTTGCATAGTCTAGGGAATGATTATTTATTGAGTTAACTTTTTCCAATTAATAATATGCTGATTGCCAATAATTATTTAGATACATAATTATATGATAATAATGTGAAGATTATCATTGATGGTTAATCATTACAAATGCATTTTAAATTAGTTTTATTTTAATGAGAGTTTATAAACGTAATGTTATCTATATACATACGTAAGACATTTAGGGATATTTTAATGCTTTTGTAGGGTTCCAGACGGTTGAGTTCAGGTTGAGTTCAGGTTGAGTTCAGGTTGAGGTTCAGGTTCAGGTTTTGATGCAGATTTGTGTTCACGTTAATATTTGAGAAGATTTATTGAACGAAGTATTTCATTTTATAAGAAGATTCCTTTGGGAAGTTGATAGTTTACATATGTAGATTTTCCTTGACGGAAGTTGTCATTTTAGTTTATAAATTGGAACATAGTTCATCTTTTAAAGAATGAATTTATAAAGTTTAAAAGCGTATACAAATTCAAAAACTGGATAAAAGGAACAGTGAAGACCAAGACTAACATTAGCAAGAAAACATGGACAATAGCCTAAGATAGTTTAATTAACGGATTGAATAAACATTGTTTTATATAATTATCATTATTATTTCTTCAGTAAACATATTTGAACAATTATTCAATTCATGTCTTACATATAATCTTACAGTATTTAGTATTATTTAGTTTGTTGTAAATGAAATCTTGTAAACCACACAACAGTATAAGTGATTTTACACAACCCCAAAAAAGTCTAATTTGCTCATCAAGCGAACATCGTGACAAATAATAACATAAAATTTTCTTTCATCGTCTTTGTACGTTTCCCGTTTGAAGTGTATGTTAGCATATACAGTAACAGTTAATATTGTTTGTTACTTACCCTTGATTATTCAGCATATTACAAACAACACGAGCAGATTGTTCTGTAAACTCATGATCGCATACTGTTCCCCATGACCCATCATGCCATACTTCCAGTCTTCCTTCATATTGACTTGATCCGTTAACAAGTCGAACTTCAAAAAACAGTCAATCTTTAGAACAACAATACTAATCATACTTTTAGAGTTTTGTGCTTGAGGTCGTTGAAATGTTAATATTTAAGATTTTTAAGAGTCGACAAATAACTATAAGTATAATATTTTTATATTTTTGAATGATTTATATAGCATGTTTGTGTCATCAAAATATCTCAGTGATGTATAAATATATTGTTTTGATTATTTCTTTATCATAGCATTCACATTTCTCTCGTCCACAAACTCCATTTGTCTACAAACCTAGTTTCATCATCCTAACATTTGTACCTGAGCATAACGTGCCCACTTCAAATGTGCCCACTTCCTTAATACTACAATATGCAACAGAAATAATTTTTATTTTATGATGATATAAAAGTTATCGTTTTACGTCGAAAAATGTTTGAAAAATAAAAAGAAAATAGTCCATTTGTGTAAAATTTGACGTTTAGTTTAGCTAAATTATCCGACTTAAAAGCGGCTTATTACAAAAATTTCTGAAATAATGTTTAGATGTTTTTTTCTTTAAACGTGCTTTAATATAAAAAATACTCTTATGTCTAAATGCTTAAAAATAGGGGATCACCGACTCAAATCTTTCGGCACATGTGATTTTATTTCCCCCAACCTTTACGCTATTTTTGTTAAGAAATTCGGTGTCTGCAGATACGTTTAAGACTTGAAAATGTGGCAATAATGTTCAGCTTATCAAGAGCATAATTCTAGAGATTTATTTATCCTGGAATATAACAATCAACAACAAAAATGAACTTCCGTCCCATGGCAAAGCGCTTGAATTTATAATTTGACCTGTCGATGAAGAAAACAGATTGATAATTACAATCCTAGCCTTGGATTCAGGCGTTGATTTTTTTTTCTTATTTAAATTAATATGTAGTCGATTTGCCGAACTGTAACCCATGCTAGTAAATTATATTTACAAGTACAATACAATGTAACATAAAACATATTACTAGAGACAAAATGAAATATTTCCAGTGCATGAAACTTGCAAAAACTGTTACAACAATTGTTAAGTTAACTATCATGGGTTTGGTCGAAATTCAATTTTATAACAATGGCCTTACATGACGTCTATGGTTGCTGAAAAAATATTTTCGAAAACAAACAAACTTTTTTCTTGTTTTTAATGTTTTCATGATTAATAATTTCATGAGACATGGGAAACAGACGCATGTAAAGAAAATGCCGTCAGAGTCAGACTTTCAACTCCTATGCGTACCCTATGCAAACAAAATAAATACAGGTTAGAGTTATCATTGTGGTGTAACTTTTTAATATTATAGTGCAGTAACGTTAATGAAATTGATTCGGAACTATGCTATCAAGAACAAAGAGCAACAATACATTTGTTATGTAGATTGGACATTTACGGAGTCATATATTAATACTCAGGCTACAAGAAGTTCTGCAAAGCTATATTACCCACACTATTAGTGATATACTGTGTTATGGATTTTATTTCAGCTATTAAAACAAAGAATTTCCCTTGTAAGCATTACTTTTGCAGCGACTTGGTAGAGTATATGGCAAAGACCTGTTCGAAATATTGACAACTTGAAATATACGTTTCATATTAATAAAATTTTGTCAATTATGTAAGCGTGAAGCAATAGTCATGTTTGAAACGTTAGCTCAGTGGGCGTTGGATCACAGAGTAAGCACGTTCATTTCCACAATTTGATAAATATCTTTCGTACATTTTTCTCTCGATTTGCTTATCATTTTAGAATATCATATTTATAAAAATAACTTTAATTGAAATTAACAGAATTCAACATAAAAACTGTTCACCAAATTTACAATCAAATCGGCCATCGCAATTATTCACTATTCGCTGTACAGCCAAATTTATTGGAACATATATTTTAAACAGTATTTTTTATAATATAAGTAAATTAATCATGAATTATTCTAAAATGTCGTAAATACATGTATGCAGTGTTTAGCAGAACCAAGTGGTCTGTAGCAAAGGAGTGTTGCGTTGCGTTGTAAATCTGCAGCACGACATTATTGTTTTAATTGCATCGTTTTTTTAGTTCTTTTCAATTTGTTTTTTTTTCTTGTCGGGTGGTTCTCACCTAAATTGTTTAATCACCTTACGATATGTAGCCTGCTTTTTGATTTACTATTTTGATAGTTTATATGTAATTTGCAGGATTTATATTCCCCGATCCACCTTCAATATACCATTTTATTTACTTTCGTCCATTGTTTTCTCATTTAGGGCACACGCATTGTTACTTGGGGACCATGGGTCGCTTTTCATTAAATGTAACTAACTTGTCACATTGGATATTCCATAATAACCGCCGTATGAATACATCTGCGGATGTTTCAAATTTCGAACTTTTACCAGTTCATGTTAAATATTGAAGTCTGATTAAGTAGGTGCAAGGGGACGTGGTTGGTAGCTTGCAATTACCACTAACGTCCTCGAGGTGGGGCCATTTTTCACCCACGGACAATAAATTGAACAAATTTTGAAGATGTCCACCAGACAATGTTACATACCAAATATCTAAGTTAAAGCATCTATAGCATAATATGATAAGATTATTTTTGTTTATACAAGATACATACATGTATACGAAAAATCACTGACGCCCTGGGGCGAGGCCAGTTTGCCGCAAGGGCATTGTTTGAAAAAACTTAGTAGAGGTTACTAGATAATGTTTCATGATGTCGAAACCATCTAAGCTTAAGCTTTTACAGTTTTAGGAAATAGTTTTACTATAAAAGATATACATATAATTAAAAGCTATGTTTCCCAAGGGTTGGGCAAATTCTGACCCAATGGCTATAATGTTAACAAATTTAATGGAGGCCCATCTGACAATGTTTCATACCAAATATCTTAGGTGAAGACTCTATAGTACTCTTGAATGCTTCATATAACGTAGCGATTCATATAAAGACGCTGGCAGGAAAGAAATTTTGGACAATTTATAAATAAATAAAACATATAAAAGATTGTGTAAATATATAGAAAAAGGTACAGCCAAATGACCATTACCAAAGTACTCGATGCCTTAAAGGAACAAGAAAATCACCTACAAGGGCCCGACGAAGCAAGACAGAAGACGAACATTAAGACAATTCAGTTTCAAAGGGCTTTAAGAACTGTCCATCATAGAGTCTCCCATAGAGTCCGTCAGATGTAATTAAAAGAGGAAAGCGTAGTCGTAAAAAAAGTTTTCAAATTACAATTAAATTTTAAAACTAAATCTGAATTGCGATGGTGAAACTTAGTAAAATATTTACGCAATTTACGATAGCGGTAACCTTGCTTAATAAGTTTGTTAGGTAATAAATAAATTGCGTTCATTTAAATCATCAACACGACTGCACGCCCTAGCAAATCTAATAAATTGAGAAATATACACCCCATATGATGTAGCATGAGTTAAATCGCTATCTAAATGTGGATAGTTAACAATATTATAATCAAAAATCATCTTTTTAATCATAGATTTTAGTTTCTATAGTATTGTTAATGACACAAATGTTTAAATCTAAAAAAGATGTAATAACGTCTGAAGAGTTAGTTTTATTCAATTTAAGTTCACTGGGATATATTTTAGAAAACAATTGATCGAAATAAGGATCATTCATGTTAAGGATATCATCTTGGTAGCGCGAAGTGTTGTTAAATACATAAATAATTTTCTGATGTTATCTATGGGAAAGACTTAATAAAATGTCCCTCTCATAGCAGTAAATTTATAAATCAGCTATCAGGGTTGCACAATTAGTTCCCATTGGACTGCCTTTTATCTATTTGAAAACTGTATTACCAAACCTGACATAAATGTTATCTAATAAAAAACGACAGTGCTTAACAAACTTTGTCACAGGTCCACATTATATATTGTTTAAATTAAGCCTTCTTTGAATTGCAAGCAAGAAACGTGACCTTTTCTCTTGCAAATGGTTTTTGAATTAAAGATAATAATTTATGTGGCAAAGTTGTTTATAGGGTAGAGAAATTGTACTTACTGATGAAGCTTGATAGTTCTTAACTTTAAACTTATCTAAAATTTCAGTTGAATTTTTAACAGACAAGAAAATATTCTCATAAACTGTTTCAAAGTATCTAATGACATGTGCATTGATGGCAGTAAGATCGTTCTGGGAACAAAATAGTTTATATGTACACTAAACCTGTTGGTGCAATAAGTAAGAAACATGGCTAAAAAAGTGACATGGATGAACAATAATATATTGAAAATCAATGCTGACAAGACAGAAGTAATTATATTTACATCACAGAGAAACCAAAATCATGTTGAGACCATAACTGTGACTATTGGAGGTGAAAACATAAAACCATCAAATAGTGTAAGAAATCTTGATGCTGTACTAGACAACAACATGACCATGGAAAAGCACATAAACTCAGTTTGCAGATCTTGTAATGGACAATTACGTCAGATTGGTCATTTAAGGAAATACCTTAATACAAATGCAACAAAATATTTAATGAATTCTCCAGTCACCCCACGCATAAATTATTGTAATGCACTTTTATATGGTGTACCTAAAACGATGTTTAATAAGCTACAACATCTTCAAAACACTGCTACCCGCATCATCACAAGAACATCCAGATTTGAACATATCACTCCAGTTTTTAAGAACCTACACTGGATTCCTGTCGTTTACCGAGTGGAACTTTAAAATCCTTGTGCAAACTTACAAAGCCTACATGACCAGTCACCACTTTACCTTAAACATTTACTGGCGCTATATCAACCAACAAGAAACTTAAGATAAAAAACTCTTCAAAGCAACTTGTTGTTCCCAAAAGTAGGACTGAAACGCAGTTTCTCTTCGGTGGCACCAAAACTGTGGAATGCTCTCCCAGACAGTATCAGAGACTCAAAACAGTAGATGTTTTCAAGAAATCTTTAAAAACACATTTTTTCCTGAAAACTAAATAGTAACTAACTGTGTTGTATTCGTCGTCACTGTGAATTGGCGTGCTGTCTTTGTTCTTAGAGATCTGGGTACACATTTGAAATATTATAGTCTATTTTTTTAATCACATTTCAATTAATTATTAATTATTACTGTTTTATCAAATTTGATTTAGAATTTAGTTGTTTCACTTGATTTGTATTTTCTTTTTAATTTCAATAGTTTTTAATCTTCCTCTATATTTCATTTTCAAGTCTTATATTATTTTTCATGTACATTCTTTTTAAACTTTTTCTTGTATGATCGACTGAGTTTTTAGATTAATCATGGGGTATTTAATATTTTGTTATTGTATACATATATGTGTGTTATTATTTTTAGTACTTTTTGTTTGTTTTTTAAAGTCATTAAATATAAAAATGCGGTAATTATTATTATCATTAATTATTATTATAACTATTATCATAATTATTATAATAATTATTAAGACAAGAAGTCAATAAAATAGAAAGATTATTGGTAATACAAGATGTACGATTAAAATGAAGCAGGCTTTATATTGATGTTTATATAATTTTTTGAAGCCAGTACATGATAGAAAGTTTTAGCTCTTTCTCATCAACACGTACTTTAAAGTTAGAAATACTAGAAATATGACTGTTCACAATATCTCTTTCAGAAAGAACGGTTTTAGAATTAGCATTAGTGCTGTTAAGCTTATTTTTGGCCGGGTTGCACTGGTACAAATTCGGGTTAAAGTATGGTGAATATCGGGCGGCGGGCGGGCAGGCGGGCGGGGAAAATATTTTCGTAACAGTTTTCTCAGCAACTACTTATCACGGCCTCTTGATAATTGGCATACAGCATTGACACATGGTCCCATACCGTGGGATTTGATTTCGGGTCTGTCGCTCATCAACTTCCTGTTTATCCACTTAGTGAAATTAGTTGAATTTTTCGACATTAATGGTCAATGGTTGGAAATTTTAGTAACAGTTTTTTCAGCAACTACTTATCAAAGCCTCTTGATATTTGGCATACAGTACTGACACATGGTCCCATACCGTGGACTTTGATTTCGGGTCTGTCGCTCATCCACTTCCTGTTTATCTACTTAGTTAAATTAGTTAAATTTTTAGACATTAATGATCAATGGTAGGATATTTTCGTAACAGTTTTTTCAGCAACTACTTATCACAGCCCTTGATATTTGGCATACAGCATAGACACATGGTCCCATATCGTGGGATTTGATTTCAGGTCTGCAGTACATCAACTTCCTGTTCACCGACTTAATTAAATTTTCGATATAAATGGGCCAATGGTAAATTCTTTTCGTAACATCACAGCCTCATGATATTTGGTGCACAAATGTAACCCGGCATTTTCTGTCTTTGACCCATTTTGTAAAACATTTATGTAATGAATGCGTCATACGATATTTATGTTATTAGCTGCCTTGACAAGTGGAACTAAAACTTATTTTGAGTGGAACGCTAATATATCCTTTTTAAGATGTCATAAAGAAAGTCTTGTTGTAGGTGGTTAAAGATGTTCATTCCCACGATAAATTCGATACGTGATTCAATAATATTAAATATATTATGTTTCCATGTATAAACAACATTAAAGTACTATCAGAATCTTTGCGACGACACCATTTTACTGAAAAGTCCTCGATCGATTCAGCTATCTGACTTCTACAAACATTAAAATCAATATCGGAAGGAATCCTATATTTTGGTCCTTTAAGAAATAAATAAAGGATTTTTTTGTCACCATTGATTATATGACAAAGTCCAAGTTACAGAATTTCGAACTTTTACAGTCTCAACTTGTTGGTGTATTAGACTCTACGTCGGAGACAATTTTGTTATAATTGAATATGATATTTTATTTCTGACAGGCGTTTTATATTTATAGCAAAATTTATAGCAAATAATTGGAATCTCAGATCTTTTGAAATATTAAGGAATCGGGTCGGTTACGCGTTTATCACAAAAATACTAGGTAAATCTATGAAATCAATACCTTTTCAGAAAAGTTATTTTATGTGCATACATGTATATTTACATGTTTATATAATTATTATTTTCTTAATATATTTAGTCATCATAAAATAAACGATTATGTAATAATAAAAAATCTTATTCATTTTCTTGTTATGGATGCATCATGTCACTTGATCTTATTAAAGAGAGAAAATTAAGCTAGAGTGTAATGCCCTGTAAACCATTCTTTTATATAGGTCAGTGTAAAATGAGTGCCCCAGGGCAAGGCCATTTTATCCAAGGTTCGTCAGTTACATAACTTAAGTCGAGAATCTACAAGGCAAATCTTCATGCCAAATATTTAAATTCTGGACTTTTTAGTGTAACTACAGAAGACTTAAATGCATTTTTGTATTGAAGTCTATGTAAATTTAAGACCCCTGGGGTTGAGCAAGCTTTAACCAGAGGGATAATAACAGCATTGGTAGAGGTGCATTAGATTAAGTTTAATACGAAAATCTTAGCAGAAGCATCTATACATTAATTGAAGATTTTCTTACGATACACAAATATAAAAAGTAATGATTCCCCTTGGGGCGGGGCCAATTTTGATCCAAAGGCTTTTATTTGACCAAACTTGGTAGACACTCGCTATAAGTTGTATCATATATATCTAGCCTCTATCTTTTTGTATTTTTTGAAGAAGATTTGTTTGGCATTAATTATATTAATATAAGGAAAATCAATGACACTCTGCGCCGTGGCCGCATTTTATCCCAGGCTTTTAATTTGAACAAACATAGAAGACACCCACCATAAGATGGTGCATGTTTATCACCAAAGCGCTATTTTAGAAGATGATTGTTTAAGTTTTGTTTTCGTCAACCAGAATTAGCATGGAACGGAATACTATGAACAAATTTGAAAGAGATTCATGCCAGGAACATTCCCTCTTAGTTCTAGCAATATTGACTTGATAAAGGAGGAGATGTTTTAAGATGTTTTAAGAAAAATGTCTGACGCCATAAACGACGCACGACGAACGCTCATATGAGCTTACAAAAAACACGTATCTCTTAAATGTATCAAAACATATGTTGTATAATTGTTACAACACATTCGCATTGACGTCGGGATTCGGATTGAGCCCATTGTTTAGAAAAAACAAATCTGCACCCTAGACGTATAGTTTTTTTTTATTATGATTATGAAAGTAATTTGATGGTGAAAATAAACCTATTCATGATTAGAGGAACTCGCTGTTTTATTATTTCTAAGTAACTGGGACAACAACTAGCAAAGTATTCATTCAATCTAATTTAAAATTTATTCTACATCCCTCCTGATTTGACGGCTAGCATAAAATCATCAGCTATACATCCATAATATTTCTGATTGACTTCATTTATAGAAGATTATGTTACCATGTTACAAGTAACTGAGGTTGTGAATAGGGGAATACAATCCATAACCAAGAAAATACAATTTAAAATGTACTGTCTAATCAGATTTGTTTTATTTCTTTTCATGCGACAAAACAGTTTCAGTTTAACGTATCTTTACTCTATATGAAAATCACATGGTCTTGAATTCGATGATTTTTTTCTAGAGAAAAATACCCAGACCATAATTTTTGAAGCTTTACTGTAATTTTTACACATCTCCCCTAAATAAATGGTTGTCCGAGTGCACACTTAAAAATTGTTGTTTTTTGTGTTGATAATTCACCTTCATCAGTACCTTTAAATACTCTGATTTTGCAGGCATGCAACGTATGCGCACATATTGCTCAATATTTTTATCAGAAAAATGAAAATAACAAAATTTCACCCATGTTATACAAAAGTAAAGGACTTCAAACTTACTGGGACTGGATTGTCAATACAAGTTAAATACTTTGTCGATAGCTTAAACATGTTTAAACAATGAGGAGCAATAAATCACGAATCACATTTTAAATAAAAACAATAACTTTATAGTAAAGATAGTACCTAATATCAACCTCGCCATATACAGTAAATATTGTCTAATAATAATAATAATGAGTCTTTCAGAGGAATAAAAGGAATAAAAAGCGGATGTGGAAAACTGAAATATGATATTTCTTAAGAAAATATATAAAGTATCAGATAAACAGGTACATGAACCTTGAATTTGACCTTCTTAATGCAAAGTTGTGAAAAAAGCAATGTTCTAGTAAAAATATCAAGTAATGATGCAGTGATTTTTTAAAGATGGTTATTTTCGTTTTTGCTATATAATTCTTAATCACTTTTCCTAATAAAAATTTACATTACAATTTGAAATATATTTCAGGATGTCTTTTAGGCTGAAAACTATCATAATATGTGTATTAATATCTTTGAGTAGGGACTTACAATCTCATGGTTTGAGTATGTTACTGGCGATTCATTGGTAAAGTGGCAGTTTTTTTCGTTGAATACCACTGTAAGTTATTTGAATAATATAAGTTTGACGTCGTCTTTGATGTTTGACGTGCGTCGCAATTCACATAGTTGCCATAAAATTTGCAATCAATTTGTTGTTTGTCGAAATGTTTTTATGTATTTTTTTTAATTGTTTCTAATTGTTTTTGTTTATAACAGATCAAAATATCTAATTGTACATGAAAATTCAACTTTGAAACACTCTTGTCACATATAATTGGGACAACCAACATGTTATGAATTTGTTTGATCAAATCAGTACGCCTTATTATTTCCAATACCAAAACATAGCAGTTCAACACTATAAAAGAGATGGAAACTTTTATACTGTCGCAATGTTTTTGCTCTAGATAGTTGTACAATCATTATGTAAAGTATTAAAGGAGAATCATATTTTACTATAAATTTCCGACTATAAATTGTGAATATAACTAAAACATGGTATTTGAATATATATTTCTTTTCAATGATTGTATAAGAAAGATTACCTTTTGTACATGATATGCCGACATCTTCATTATGACTACATTTATTTGTTCCCCGAGTTCTAGGTGGACATTGTGGTAAGCTTATCTCAGTTCCTGTACAATTAACATCGTGTATTGGCAGTTTTCCGGCGCCGAAGTATGCGGACATTATAACCAAAGGATCTGTACTAAAATAGAGAAAACAGAATCCCCAAGGAACACTCAAAATGGCAAAATTGACAATGCTGCAGGCTCGGTTTCATTTAGCCTGGAAATAGCAAGTTACCGCCTACGCCTTTTAGCACGGACCTAAGCAGTATTCAACATTAAATGTAATGGTAAAATTTTAATTAAAAAACATCAGCAGATATGTTCATCTAAAGGGATTTAGTGTAAAATGAAAACTAAACAACACTGCCTTATTTGAATTTTAAGTTTTAAACAAACGTATGTGTATTTTGCATAAAACAAAGAAGTGTGAACAACTTGTTTGCTCCAGGGAATTAATGAAGGTGAACAAATATCATATTCAAGATGTTTAATAATTATTGTTCTTGTCTTTATTCACATGTGAGATATTAAAATCTCTTTAAATGCACTTTGCTGTCGCAGTCTGAAAGTAAATTAATACTTCTCTTGTTGATTACAAAAGTAATGTGATCTTTTTGGGTGTATTTTTATCCAAGATGCATGTAATATCTAAACATAATTTTAATTTATGTCATATAAACTTTGCTAGACCAGCTGTGATCCAAGAGGATGAGTTTTATAACTTGAATGTGTATTTTCTGAGCATTGTTGTTTTGGAGAAATAGACTTTTACGACATGTTTGCCATACAAGTCCCGAAGGCGGGAAAATTTGTTTTGTCCATAATGGCATGATTTTAATAACTTGTAGAACCACTTTTGATCGATCCAAAGTGCAAAATTAATACAATTTAAGTAGCAGTATACTAGGCAGTGCTACATGCTAAATGTCGAAGCTCTAGGGTAGTTGATTAATTTATGTCTTTATAAACTAAATTGTACCGATGCGAGACCATTTATAACCTGAGGGTAATTATTAAAACTTTCATAGAGGCATGAAATATGATGTTGCATGCTTAATATCGATCTGGGACATTAAAAAATCTTATTTTACAGCTTTTCTGACCATTACATCAGCTTGAAACAGTCATCTATGTGAACTTTGATCGAAATCACTTTCACGATTTAAGACTTTGTGTTAAAAAAAAGAAACAGTTGAGAAACAATAGAAGATGAACATACTGTCATAACAATAGCTTATCTCTGGGAAATAAAAGACATTCTCTTCTATATTACGTGTATGTTAACATAACGAGAAATACGTTACTGTCGTTTGTATAACTTACTGTGGATAATTTAACATCTTGCAAACAACAGTTGCAGAAAGCGTTGTAAAGTCATCATCGCACACTGTTCCCCAAGATCCATCATTCCATACTTCCAGTCTCCCTTCAGATGGATTTGACCCATTCACCAATCGAACTAATTCAAAATTTATATGAATGATGAGAGTTATGAATTTTATAATATTTTATGCACATATAGAGGTACGATACTCTTTAAAGGGAGGTATAATATTACGATACGGAGAAAATATAAACACACGTCAGAGTGAGTATATTTATAAAATAATTTGAGTCATTTACTATTAAAATTGCAAAAGATCATAGAAGTTAAGATTCAATATGTAATAAACAATCGATAACTGATTTTGTGTCGGAGAAAAAGCCCAATCACGTGTATATTAGTTGCAATTTGTACTTAAAATGTACTTATGTAGAAAATCATTATTTAGTTGCAAAGCAAAAACCTTTATTCAAAAATTTATATTGGCAACTTGTTGCCCAATAATTTATGTGTACGATAAGAAGTCAGTTAATTCTGATAGTGCAAGTAACTACATAAAACTTTACACTATAAATACTCTTCTTTTATTGACTGTATTACTTCTTTGTAGCTGACGGCATTTACTTTTCTTATACTTGTATATCCTCACATAATTATGTCACTTTTATTTCAAGAATAGTCTTACTTTGATCTTAGAAATTTGTGAAAATATTAAATTCGCTCTGTAGACTTTTCTCTTTTCTTTTTTGTTTTTACTGAAGAAAATTACTTAAATTCTATGCATTTTAACAAAACACAAAACAGAAATTTTATTTAACAATCTATATTTCAATCATTGTCAATGTCTGACACGTTTCTGTTCATATTGAGTAGGTAAAATGTTTATCATATTTACTGCAATTTTATCCTTAAAGGAACTACACTGAGGTACATAAGCCTAAAACAATAAAATTTTAATTTCCCGCATAAATCAACTGGTGCACCTAAAACGGAAATATATACAAAAGATAATTTAGTAATATACCTAGAAATACACTGAAAATTGTATGTTTGTGTTATTCTCAGCCCGAATAGAGTGAAAAGCGTTTAAACGCTCTTCAATTTTAGGTCATTTTTGACAATTAAAATAATTATTCTGGAAAAACGAAGCGAGCAAATGATCTGAAATTTTGCACATAAATTGTTGTTATAGACCTAAATCAGATGGAGTAATAATCTTAAAAAAATGTTTCCAGTCCCGTCATGTCAAAAAACCTCAATGGAGTCTCTTTAATAAGTTTCGGGTTTGACTGTTATAAAAGTTGTTAATATACATTATAATTTTGATCAAATACCGTTTTATGGTTGGCCGATATTAGACCGTATTTCAAAGGCATACCCTGATTTTCAACCAGTATAACTACATACTAGTAGACAATCATTAGCGCGCTATAAACACAACTAAAGTTACTAACTAAAGTTAAACTAAAGTTAACAAATTTGAATTAATGTGGCATAAATATAAAGCTAAGAAGTATATTTACCCGATAACCGTCATATCCGGGCTTTGTGCCATGTTGAACTTGAAAACTCCTTATGTTGATAAAGGAAATGGTGGTTTTGATAAATTGGTATTATGTCAACATGATATATTTTGGTTTTTTATTTACTCCTCATTTTCCTATAGCTTTTTATCTACGAGATAGAACCGAAGTATGTATGTGTAACTACATTTCGATCAGCTTTGTGACAAACCAACGGGGAAACATCAACGCTTTAACAATTAACCCATGTAGAAATCCTCAAAATATTTTAACAAGCATGAATGAAACATATTCAGTAAGAATTTCAGGGTTCTCAAATCATTTCTTCGATCAAATATTGTACCCAAAATAAGGATAGTATATTTTAAAAGTTATTTTCGATCATTTTGATTTATGATCGAAATTGATTGGTTTTCCAACCATTTTGAAACTAGTTTCATTTAAATTCAGATTCAAACTTTTTTATGCTATCACCGCTGTGCTTTTTAATGCCTATCCATTTTCTAACTAATATTTGTCTTTTTAACGTTTACCCTTAGTCCCGAGATTGAAGCAAATACTGATAAAATATCAAGTCAATAGTTGCGTTTTAAGATTCTGCTATTTAATTAACATTGCAATGGTGCCTCAACAAACTGTAAAAGTAAACGTTTGGTCTATTGAATATGTATTCTTTATATATTTTCTATGGTATTCAACTTTAAGAAAATAACTTCTGCGCATTATATAAATATATACAAAATGTAGCATAAAAGAGGGTTGCCCTGATGACATCTTAGCTGTACATTAAAACAAAAATATAAGGATACACATTGGCAAATAGCTGATGTAGTTTTTCATAAAAGATCTCGAACCAGTGTTTAATTGATGTACTGAAGTTGAAATAAGTATTTTGTACAAATCCCAATAAAACAAAATGTTATGTTAAGTAATGGGCAACTGACTAGAATCATATGCTTAATTTAGGACCCTTTTAATGTTTGTCACGTTTCTTAAAAGAAATGATGTCTAATTATATTCTTATTACCCGCCAAGTTTTGGCTTTCTATATCTGTTAGTATTATCTATATTATATAAGTGGTTAAGCTACGATTTTTTTTTTAAAAATAAGGTATGCGTTCCGTTCAATCATTTTATGTTCAGCGCCGCGGAACTTAACCGCCGATTTTGTCGTACTGCATTTCTTTATCGCCGATGAGAACAGGTCTACGGAATGTATTTTCTATTTTTGCACGAAAGTATCATTCTTCGCCCTTAAAAAAACTTTAAATTTTCAAAATCGAGTTACAAATGATAAAACTACAAATTAGTTTGTAAAGAAGATGTCCGTTTTTGCAAAGGTATTTTACGCTTTGCACCGATAAATGTGATACAGATGTTTGCACGACAGGACGTTTCAATTGAATTGAAGAAGTTTTCACTATTTTCACTATATTGAAGAAAATATTTTCCACAGACTAGAGACATGGCATTTAAGCATACCTTCAAACTAAAGTGTGATTTTTATTTGAAAATGAATTGCCTGAATATTAAACTTTTTTTTCAGAAAATGACTTCAAAGAGGATTACTCCCTGTTTACATTGAAATTTCCTCTGCTATTCGCACCGAGATATCAAAGTAAAAATAATCGAAGAAATTAAGGTAATTTTTCATTTCAATAAGAAAGTTAAATGTTATTGTCTTTATAATGAGTTCAAATATTTATAATCTTAAAACCTCACACCAGAAGTTAATATAAAACTGCTTATTTGTACAATTGACGTAATCAAATTGTTGAACAAAATCAGACAAGTGTTCGACCGAAGCCGAGCTGTTTATGTTTACTGAATTCAAATCACTTTAACTGAACTGCTATGAATTCGAAAACCACCAGGGACTTTTGATTCTTTCGTGTGGAAACCTATCAAGCTACATGTAGTTTCAAAATGTCGATGGTTCTCTGCAGGTACAACGTTTTGCCTGAAAAAATGCACAAAGGCGCACCTGAGGTCTTCGCCCCCCAGTAAAGCTAATGTGTAGAGTGTAAGTTTGAAAACAAACCTTAAAAAAACAGTCATTGCCCAGAACATGCAGAACCACAGATTACTTAGAGCGTAGCTAGCCAAAATAAATTCAGGTTCATAGTCTTCTATATTTTTTGCCAAAAAAATAGGGATACTTTTGAACATACAGGAAAATATTATTTAAAAATTAAGTAACATGTCCATGTTTAACTGTAAAGTAGCTTCCGCAAAGTAAACTTTCCAATTTAATGTTATATTAGACATGACACAATGTATTCTAAATTATCAAAAGCAACAGAACTTCGCTATACACCGCAAAAAATTTGGGTTTTTTTTATCAAGTGCAAGTGATTATTCTATAAAATAGACATATTTTGCCAAAATAACCCCTGTTGAAAAGACTGCAAAACAATACAACTGCGTCGTATCATATTCTATTATCAACTGCGTCGTATCATTTCGGAAAAATCATTATTTTCTTAGAAAATAAACATCTCTTTTTAATGAAATATTAGTACATGATGCAAAAATTATATTTCAAAGATAATGGTAAACTCTGAAATGATTATATAATTCATTCGAAGGAAAAAACGATAGATAAAGTAATATGAACTGCGTCGTATCCGCACATTTTCACAAAAATTCTGTTCCGAGATTGACCTTTACGAACCCATGTGCTTCCAATATTTTTATAAATTACTTTTTTAAAGATATTGAGAAAGGGGATTTATTGACTTTTCTATTCAATACAATCATATTTAAGTACTTATAAATAATGAAAATAAATAAAAACAAAATCTTGAATAGAAATATCGAAATTATGTCAAGAAAGATGTTCTAAATATAGAACACGACTCTACTCTAATCGGTTCCCGCAAATGACGTCATACGAGGTCTCGCGTAGCACCTTAATGTCATGGCCGACTGAAGTCGGCGTAATTGATGTTTTTCAGTTAAATAGGCAATTTTAGTGACGGTATTAATATTTTGATACTTTAAATGGTATAGAGCGATAATAAAATAATTGTTTTATCGTAAACTGCGCAAGATTTGATTGGGACAAGTGTATTTGCAAGTGAAATAAAAGGTTAAATCAGCTTATGTTATTCTGGTGAAGTTTCGTAATGGGTCTAATCCAAGCCTCACCCTTTCTAGCCCATATTAGTCTTGCCTGATAAAATTGATATCAAAAGACAGTAGCATGTTAATCTCTATTTATCCGCTCATTTCCGGTATTTACGTCAGCGACTGGCTTGAGATCACAAGAAAGCAAGGAAACATGAACACGCACCGGCGTCGTTTCCGTTTACCACACATCATAGGTGTTTGGTTATTCACCAAACATAATTCACTTGCATGATTGCCATTCTATCAATGAACCTTTATTCAATCAACCATCATCGGACTTAAAACGATTATAGGCCTATAAGTTTGGAAACGTTGTAGATACCCCATTTCCTAGAAAAAGAAATTAGAAAAAACAGGTACCCGTCTAAATCTAACATTTAAAGGTGCTGTGTATGGAGGCTATTCGTTGCCAAAAATCCAGCCTTGTTGATCTGAGTTGATCACTTTGTTAACAGACAAAAAACAATTATTGTATTTCTT